ACCCTTCTACTTTAACCCCTGATCCGTGGCATAAACATGACATTAAATATACGAAAATGTACAATTCACAATACGTACAGATTTATTAGGGGAATCAATGTCAAATGAGAGGTTGGTAAAAACCAAAACTTCTACCCGGTTACACAACCCCCCTGAAAACATTTTCTAGGTACGCCTCCGCTAGTAATATTATTAATACCCATAAAAATATTGAGCAACATACGTTCGTAGATAACTATTTGTATAACATTTTTTTAAATTACAAACCATAATATATTGTACGGTTTGTATATTGTGGCTACAATAATATAATTAATACAATAAAATGTACAAATAAATTGACTCTTATAGGTAATGGTAACATGTCTCTACAACAAAATTATTTCGGAAGATATAAGGTACATACTTATTATTTTTTTTTAATATTATGATTCAGTTTAAATATATTTTATTTTAAACACCATTTAGAATAATTGGTATTTGGGAATTTGTATTCAAGGACCACTTGGATAATTATTGAATCGATTTCCTATACAATGTCAATATCAATATAAATATTCGGTCATGAAATCATATGTTTCATAAGCAGTTAAGTATACCTCTACAGACTACTTATAATAAATGCAGTACTTAAAATATATCATACAATATAGACTGACAAGATAATAATTGATTGCTGTACCTAATAGGATTATTGGGACAGAGATAATTATGAATTTAAAAGTTAAAAGAAAAATTGAATTGCAGATAGATGTTTATTTAATTTTTATTTGATGTGGAAGATATAAGTAAGTTATCAATAATAATAATAATAATAGTAAAATAATAATTTGATTTAATGAATGTGGGTGGCATATTAATAGGAAAAATTGTACACAAAATTTTAAAGACTATTTCGATTGGTTGAATATGTAATGAAACATTTTACTATTAGTTGTTTGTCGAGGTTATTTCGGTTACAGGATGTAGCAAAAACAACCTAGTATGAGGTAATGGATATTAGATTCTAATTTAGGCACTTAGTGTGGCACCCCTATGCATCGAAAATTCCTGTTTACGCAACTGCTAAGTGCCAGACGTTGTTACTTATCACTACTTCAAAAAAATTTAACATCTCCCACTCACGATTCATAAGTGATTTAAGTATACATTTTTGCTATGATCTCTCACTATTGAAAAATATCACTGAGTAGCTGAATGGGACTGCAGCCTAAGAATTGTGTCCCGTATAAAAAGGTATATAAAGGTTTTTTCTTGAGCACGTTTGAATGTGTCCCCATTACCTGTGCAATTATTGGTTATCATCGATTATTTTAGTATTTTCGATTTAGTAAAAACAATCACTTTAAAACGTTCATAATTTTCTTGAGAGTTACTTTTTCTAGACCAACATAATTTTGTGGCAGTGCAGTGTTGTAGTTTCACCTATTCACAAGTGTCATTTTTTTAAATCAAGTTTTTATTTTTACTAACTATGATGAGTAAAATTAGAACTTTGTATAGCGAAAAAAAACGGGATTTATTTATTATTGGAGTGTTCAAATTTCGCTTTCCACAAATACTTTAAAAAATTCAGAACGGTGGTGTTGTTATAAAAAAAAATGTACAGCTGATATTCATTTGAACTCCTATAATGTTGTTGTTAAAAGTCAACCGTCAAATCTTGAGTAATTAATGAAAACGAAAAGCTCTCTAAAATATTTGAGAAAAACCAAGTAAAATAATTAATCGTAAATTACGTACACATGAATACATGATGCAGATTTGCAACTACATGGGCATGCTTTATAATTGTATAAAAACAATATGCACTATGCCCGATCGTCTATGTTTTTTTAACTGTTTCACAGACGATTTTATATTATCTATTACGCAGTTCACCGTTGTACAGAAAAATAGATACATTCACTGATTATAAACCTATTAGAAACATAATATATACAACCGAACTACCGAAATCTAGTTTCCCGCCTCCGCTAATAATTTTGAAGCTTTTTATTCTAAGCTTAAAGCTATGTTTTATAACGCACATACAAACATTTTTCAATTTATAGACACTCTAAAGAGGTTACAAACTTATATTTATATAAAACAACCACAACTTAGCATCCTCTTGATCAACCGTATAACCTCGCTGGTTAATAAAAAATAATTTTAAGAACAAGCAATGGTTGATATTCAGTCAAAAAAAATACGAGTAGATTTAATTTATAAAAAAATTATCTTTTAAATTTGTACCGATACTATAATATTTGTACACAGTAAAAATTACAATATACATAAAAAATAATAGGTTTATTTTTTACTAATAACGATTATATTTTTTACAGTTCCAATTTTTTTACAAAATATAAAAACAATAATAATATAATAAGCAAAAACAACATTTTTAACCTACCAGTGGTATTAATACTATTACTACAGACAGTCCTAAGTCTGTACAAAAATGGGAGGGGAAATATTGTTTTATTTTTATAATATACGAGACGCAATTGGTATCTATTTAAAATAAAAACAATAAGGGAGTATGACTTCGAAATATAACCGTGACGCAATTAATATGACTCCCAAAAAATCGGAAAACATCGGAAGGAATTTTTGCCACGGGACGCAATTTGTATGAAGCCATAATTTTTTTACTGAACTGAATATATAGGTACAATTTACCTGTTATCAATTATCATATAAATCTAGTAAGTTTAGTAATGGTAATTGGTCACAACCACAGATATATAAAACTATAAATAATAAATATTTTATATATCTGTGGTCACAACCGAAAATTCGCAGCCATCGTGCTATCGTTATCATATATAATATAATACTGGGTAATAGCGTCACCGACCATGTGGCACGTATTATATTCGTACATTCACTTTGAACAAACATTTCCCGTTCGACACACATATATCCGCCCGCCCGTGCCACACCACCCAATAAGGGGTTGTAATTATGGGCTGGGGGAGTACAAAAACAGCCATGGTACAGAATCGTGTGGAGGGGCTTAAAAAAAACGTTTGACAATCGGCGTTACCAATTAGACTATTGGAGACAATGAATAACGCAGCTGAAGAGCTGAACCTGCTGAGCGACGGATGGGAGTTTAGAAAGCAATCGCGGACCCTTCAATACCCGATTCCCGGAAATACGTTAGCCAAAGGGGCATAGATACTACAAGATGGACGGTCGGGACGAGGACAAAAGAAATTCGGCGCGCATGAACGCCAAAGCGAAGATGACGAACACTTCCTGGCCGCCTCCGGCGATCGAACGACAACGGTAGTTACCAGTTAAGTTGGTAAGACACGATAATATCTATTTTCCAGTTCGCCAGTATTCGATATTGACGAACGGCCACCCGGGACGCAGTAGTGCGACGTTGCCGCGTCTCCGGGCACCACCATCTGATAAATAATATGCTGCTAACACGGGCAGTGTGACAAAAACGATGATACCATGATATCGCTGCCCTTAGCTCGTTCCATCACGGGAAGGGTGCGTCCCGCTTCCACTTCCAGTCCGAGCCCGACTCACTTTCTCTCACCACACAGCCGACCCTTCACCGGAGGGCCTGTTGCTGCGTCACACCGCGTCCCGGCCACCCACAGATCCGCGTCCTGTAGGACACTTGGATCGCTCAGCGTTCAGATCATAGACAAGTATACTGAAGATAGTCAGATTTTCGACAGCTGCACGACCGTGCGGACGCATCACGACGACGGTTCTTAATACTGACGAGACCAGCTTGGACGACTTCTGCATAGCATAGTATATAGGTACTTCAGGTAAAACGATGACGATATTATTATTATTAATAACTAATTATGTTTGCTCTCCCGCCGCCCCGAATGGAAACAAAAACGCCGCGAGACTGCCTTATGCATTACGCACTCTCACTCTCACTTGTTGATTAGTAACGAGCGGGTCTTTGAATTTTTAATATTCTCCTTTCAAGCACCATTTTAACCTTTCCGTCGGAAGTTTCATTTTTGAAATTCCAGACGCGATATTAAGTTTAGGCGTTTACGAGTTGGATGTTTAACGGCAAATCCAAAAACATGAAAACATGCATTCGATCATGCGATTATTCGTCATTGTGCCTCTACAATTATTGCAACATTAAAGACTTATTAATCTAATTCCAAGGACACATGTAGTTGGCATTTACTTAAAAATAATGTTATGTAGGTATCATTGATTAATTCTTATAAATGGTGTTTACCAAACCTATTAACTATTATAACATACACCCTAGAGTGTATTAAAATATTTTGATTTAAATATTTAACTAGAATATTATGAATTGCGATAGGTAAGAAATACAGGGTACTCTAATAAGTAATAATGTTAAGCACTAAAATGATAAATTTTATTTCAAAATATTTATCATCTAACCCAACTGATTATAGATGATTTTAATAAAATTGATAAGGTTACATTTTTATGAGTTATCTATTGAGATAAGCCTCTCAGTGAATAATTTCTTTAAAGAAGGATGATTGAGTTATATCTTTTCAGTTGTACATTTTAATAAATAAAGCTATTTGTTTAAAGCTTGATTTTGAATCTTTCAAGGAATCTTTCCAGTTAATAGGTACTATGTTTTATTGTATAATTGTTTTATTTTCAATTAATTTAATAGTATAATACCTACTAATTTATTTCTAAATCAAAATAAGCTATTTTTAAATTGTCACACATAATTTTTATTAAAATGTATTGACATTTCTGAAAAGTATAACATTAATTAGCTTGGCTTTGACAATAAGTAGGTATACCAATACCAAGTTAGTTGATATAATATAATACTTATACCAGGTTGCATGAAAAATGAACTAACAATACAATTTAATAAACCAATCAAGTGCCACTAAATCATGTAAAATACCATTAGCTCACTGTTGATTCATTAAATGTTAAGTAATTGTCCATGCAACCCAGCATTAAACAATCTATTTAATTTTAATTTTAAATAAAATATTTGAATATCATTACAGCAAGCTGACTTCGATTTTTTTGAATGGTCACATATCAAATAGTCAATTTGTTTAATTGCTTTTATTGAATTAACCAAATAATACTAAATGGTTCGATCAAAAAAAAATCCATCATCTAATAAATCATTAAAGAACGTGCATCCATCACAGTTCAATAGTTCCAGAAGAAATGTCAATAATTTCAATGGGTGTACAACGGACTTAGATGTGCAAAATCACAATACGATTACAAATTCCATGACACATAATACAGTAAACATGAACAATCAAAACCATATCACTATGCCTAATCTTGTGACACAGAGATTAGCGAGTCTGAAGAGCCAAAATTTTAATACAATGCTAAATGTCTCACAGAATGCAACAAACCCGAATAAACAAGAACATAACATGATGCCAAATCTAGTGGCACAGAGTTTATCGAATTTGAATAGACAAAACTTTAGTATTATGCTAAATTCTATGTCACAGAATACAGCTAATATGAATAAACTAGACCATAATATAATGTCAAATCATATGACACAGAGTATAGCGAACATGGATAAACAAGACCATAACATCTTGCCAAATCTTGTGACACAGAGTTTACTGAATTTGAATAGGCAAAGCCATAATATGATGCCAAATGCTGTGACACAATTGCCACAATGGTTTGTTAAAATTAACTGTTTTGGTAGAAAAATTAATTTTTTGTATTTTACAGGAATTCTCAAATTACCATGAGCGACATATTGAATAACTATGTTGGTGGTCCAAATTCAGATAACAGTCTGTTCACATCTGGCCATGATTTGTCCCCACAATCCGATTTTCAACCGACATTTGACTGCAATCAAATCAACAGCAATAATGGTGTACATCCTCCTATAGATCAATCTAACTTTCCTCTCATCAATGAACAAAATTTATCTGTCAATGGACCAAGAGATAATATTGGTAGCCAATATTCTAACACTGTGCCCATAGGGAGACCTTATGGTAAACATTCACTGTTCAAAAAATATGATCATTACTTTAGTTGTGAGTTATTTATTTTATTTTTTTTTTTTTAAATAAAATGTATTTATGTGTTTATTTATTTTATTATTTATTTTATTATTTATTTTATTATTCATTATAATTGAATGCATGTATAGTGTATTATTTAAAGTCATTATTTATGGCTGGGTTTAATATTATTTGAATTATTTTTGTATTAGTCAAAGTGATGAAAACTTCAAATTCAGAGACAAGTGAATTTAAAATGCAGAATAAAGATTTTCCAGCATTGCCTGGTACTCAAATGCGAATGCACAATGTTGCTAATACTCCACCTACTATGGTAGATTCAAACCAACAGTGGAGTAATTCAAACACTGGATCTAAATTGTTAAATAAGCTTAAAATGGATCAATTTATCGATCATAGTTCAAGCCGAAGCCATTTAGATATAGATTTTCATATGAATGGTAGTACTCTACCAAAACTTGGAGTTCAAACATCGCTTGATGATGGTCTTTTAGATAAAATTTTTATTTTTATTTTTATTTTTATTAATATATTGTTATTTAGGTAAAGTTACTAACATACCTAGCAGTATGCTGCGTGATCAATTTGGAATTATTGGTCAACTGGTTACTATGAGAGCTGCCGAATATGATCCTAAATTGGTAGCATTGACTTTCGGACAAGATTTGACAAGCCTTGGTATGAATTTGAATTCCCCTGAAAACATTTATCCAACATTTGCAGGTCCATTTGAAAATTCTCCACTGGAACCCCATAACATTGAATTTGATGTACCTTCAGAATATAAGATTCATCACAAAATCAAGTAAAAAAATAAAATATTAAAGTGTGAACATTTTTTGGTGAATTAATTATGGATGTTAATTTTAGGGATAAGTTAGCTCCAATTAAGTTTTCCGAGTATAAGGAAGATTTATTGTTCTATCTTTTTTATACTCATTTTGGTGATGGAATACAGATGGCTGTTGCTAGTGAATTGTGAGTAATTATCCATTTTTGAGTGATCCAAATTTCAGCATGGTATACTTAAATTAGGAAAAAATGACCTATGTGAACACCTCTTTGAATCATATAATCTGAACTAATTTTATATCACTATTTTTTTTTATTCATTAAAAAAAGGATATTTTAAGAGCAAATTTTAAAATTCAAATAGAAACCTATATTTATTTTTTTTATGCATTTGACGTATTATTCATAATTATGGGTCAATAATTAAAGTAGCTGTTTACATTTGAATTTTGTACTTATTTTGTAAAATGCTATTAATGAAGAATAATAATAATGAATGTTCGTGATTTTGTTATACGACGATGCATTATTGAACAACCTTAATAATCTATAGGCTAACTATCAATTTATTGTAGTAATAAATTAGTGTTTGGTATCTTAATTTAATTTTATATTACATAGGTCAAATCACATGATTGTATTGATAATAAAAGATGACAACACATTAGATAATATACTTACCTTAAATATTATGTATATTGTATATTGTACCATCTAGGCAATAACAGTATTATTTTAAATTGTTGTATAAATAGATAGCATACAATTATTTAAAATTTATATGAATAGGTACCTGTATTTATGTAAATACCTAAAAATATTTTTAAATTTAAATAATAAGTAATAACTAATAACATACATAAATTTCAGTCATGATATCAAATATAACTATCAAATACTTTAAGTATGTCAATTGTATCAGTAAAAATTATAATAATATATTCTGACCAGTGAAAAAAGTTAAGTTTAAGGGCGGGATTGAAAACTTCTTATGTCCATTTTTGTTCCTAATTCGTAACATATTTAAAAGCATTTTCTGTGTCTGGATTTGAAGAAATTTAAAAAAAATTAATTTAACTTCCATAAGTGTAGAGACATTTATAACAATTTAACAATTTTGATATAAGGATCAATGTTCACTGATAAAAAGGCAATTAATTTTGTTGTACAATTTAATTTTAGTATATTAAAATTATCCAACATCCAAGATATGTATGGTAAAATAAATTTGAAAGCAAATTCATTATTTTCAAAAGCTCATCATTTTTATAACTTTTAATTGAATTTTAATAGATTTGATGCAATTTGAAATTTTTAAAACTTTTATGTGTAAGAATCAATATTTAAAAATATTTCGTCAAATTATTATTGTCATTTAGTACATTTTATTATATTAAAATGATCGAGCTATCAATATATGTATGGTTGCTAAATTTTTTCGAAAGGTTATTCTTTTTTTTTAATAAAACAATCTATGATATATATTATATACCATAGATACCTGCCTCGTTTATATCTAGGTAGGTAACTAAAGAAATGCAGAGTTGCCATGAAAGCCAGCAGTTTCATAAATCTCTAACGAAAACATACTTCACAATTTAAACTTAGTGAACATTTTTAGTACTTGAGGTTTAAAGTGAGTTAAATTGAATTATAAATTATATATTTACTATTTCGCTTTATTTATTACATCAATAAATGAGACGATGTTTAAATAAATAACTCAACAATTTTGTTAAAGAATTAATATTTTCAAATTGGTTAAAAATAGTTAGTTTTGTGTAAATAACCTTGTAAAATATAACTGCAAGTTTATAAAAAGTTATATCAATATAGGTACCTACTTATTGTTTAAAACACAGCAGAGTGATGTACAAATACGTTTTATAGTACGGAGAAATCAAATATGAAATTTTATTTTGCATATTTTATAGGTTTTTGCATATTTTTTTTTTTTTTTTTTAGTGACGCTTCAAAACCCAGTTTTTAAAGATTTTATTTTTATTTTTTTAAATGTATTAATTAATAATTATATTTAAATTCCAATTTTTTTTATATTTGTATGAAATAAAACCTTTTTTTAATGACTCAAGTGTTTTTTTTTCATTTTGAGTGCATAATTTTAAAGTTTATCGGGTCATATTTAAGCGCATATTTTAGTGCTTTTTAGTGCTATAAGTCCCGAACCCTAGTAATGATTATTTTTTTTTTCATAGTTAGTATTATAACTTGATTTTTTTATTTGCTTATATAATAAGAACATTGAAAATATTTTTCAACCTAATGATGAAATAACGTACGTCACGACAGCTCGGTACTTCAAATTTTGGGTTTAGATGTTAAACCAATATATTTCAAATTTTAATTTTAGCCATGCAAATTCATACTAAATATTGGTTTAAAAATTTTCCAATATTTCGAAACGGACCGGGCTGTAGCAGCGTAGGTATGTAATGAAATGGCTCCAAAAAATAACAAAAACCATTTGTCCAGGATCAATTTTTAAACTACTAACTCTCCTCCCCCACCCCCCACCCCCAAAAAGAAATCTTTTTTCTGTAAGCCTTTATGTTGAGATCAATAACGATGTTATTTTGATGTGAAACACAGAAAGCTTATCTTTATGCAATGATGATAAGTTGTCTGAACCGTGGTGGTTAGGTTAGACTACGAGGCATTCGAGTAGCTTGAAGGCGAGTGAGAGATTTGGTCGACTGGATACCGTGAATGGTCTCTGGGTGGTGGTAGTACGGGTATGTCGTCGATCGTTGTGCTGTCACATACAGAGGGTCATACAGAAGTGGTCGTCACAACATTGGGAGGAACTCAGTGCGAGTACGGTATCGGAAAGATACTTAAGGTACCTATGTCGTACGAGCGTTGTAGACGGAGGGAGTAGGAGCCGGGCCTGTGTTTAACTTATAAAATTAATTCTAAATGTTGACACGTATTGTTGAGTATAGATAAAAAGAGCTAGTAGTTATTTTTTCCACCTGTTTTAAGTCGGCACTTCGTGAGTCAATTTGAAAGCTGTTTACTATAGTTCAATCTGCAACCTGTATAACTTTAATCGTGATCTATACTCATCGATTCCTGGATTAAGAAACCCAATAAGTACACCATAAATAAAAATAATCTATAATTGATTACAATATGAAACAGCAATACGGATATTAAACGTTTTGTACTGACTACTGAATACTGTAATACATTTATAATTCGATATCCGGATTATTAAGGTCGTACAGCGGAAGCACTTTTAGTATTATTCACTGTTGACATTTTATAAATTAACACCAATATTCAGAAGTCGATACCACCTTCAATTATTTACACATTAATGTAAACAACCAGTCAAAGTTCATTGAAAATTAAACTGTGCACGAATCATATTTTAAAAATATAGGTTTCCATTTAAATTTTAAGTCACCCCTAAGTTAGGTTAGGTTAGCCTCTCCATATTAATTAGATTAACCCTCCCCTCCATATTAATTAATAAAGAAAATATTTGATATAAAATTAGTTTAGATTATAATAATATGTTTCAAAAATGTTTGCACATAAGACATTTTCCCTAATTTAAATATATCATGCTGAAATCTGCTGTCACGTAACATTTGGAACACCCTGTGTATCTAATTAAGTTATAATTTGATGCTATAGGCGTACACGAGGTTGGCGTTATCATACAGGACAACATATATGGATCACTCTTGTTTCTGGATCAAGTAATTCTGATATGGATGGTAAATTTCAACGTGGCACATTTTATGTATTTGATGTGCTATCGTGGCGCAAAGTACCAAGAGAACTAATGCTTGACCACACTATGTTAGATGGATGTGTTGCAAATGCTTCTTTCATAATCCCTGATACATCTAACTAGATAAGTTTGGTCATACTTAATGAACATATTCATTACGAAAAAGTCAATTAATCATTACTATCATTTACTCCCATAACCTTGCACAAAATCCATCCAAAATGTTAAAATGTTTGTTTATTTCATAATCTTTTAAAATATAAAATCCATGTACTTTCTACATAGATTTTATGTAAATTGCGTGACGAAATGCTAATAAATAATAACTGTCATTCCATAATAACTCAATTTGTGCTATATCAACACTAGGTACTTGAATATATTTAATTACTATTTTTTGAGAAAAATATTGTTTTATAATATAACTTCAATAAATGTTTATGCTGTATTTTGAATTCTTGATTTTTTGGGACATTTATAGTTATGGTAAAATCTAATGATTTTCAGACACCGTGTGTGAAATATTTCAAATGTTGGTACAGTGCACAATTAACAGATTTATAACCAACAAAATAATTTAGAACCTAATCAGGTATGTTAAGTAATAACCCATGCACAATAAAATAAGTGATAATAAAAATGCACCGAAATGCAACAAACACGCATGCTTATTAAATTTTTCGGATGTCAACCATTTTTCATTGTTTCGTTGGTAAGTGCTGATTGCTGGTAATGGGAGATCTTAGTTAAATGACAGATGAATAAATAAATAATAAAATTTGTAGTTCGATCGAGTGTGAGAAGAGGTTAAAGTCAAACTACTAGCAGAGGATAATATTCTCAACTCGGATAGCGATTATTATTTTTGTTGTTTTTGATCGAGCTTTAATAAGCCACACGTTGTAACATCCACTCTCAATAGTGTTGAAAGTGTTGTGGAACGAACTCGAAAGAAGGGGTTTCAAGGCGATAAACACGAAATACAAGTATCTATGTAACTGAAACAAAAACCTCCAAGTACAACTGCAAGTACTCCAAGAGTTGAGACTCTATAAGCTGTCCATACAGCTCCTAATGGTTGACTTGAACTTTCCAGAAGATCTCCAACCACGAGCCTAGACCTCTAGAAGCCAGACCATCGTAGAATTGTTATTAAGGAGAGAAAGAAAAAAGGAAATAAATAATCACATGCATTTGCCAAACGAAAGATGATTTTATTGTATTAAGTTAGGGCCGTGAAAGCTGAATGGCATAAAACTCGACTGAAATAATAATGGGTGGGAAATGTCATAATATACATATACATGATGAAACAATCTTAATAATTTAGGACAACCTAGTTTGTAGACTCCGAGGTACAGACTAAAAAATAATAATAATAATTTGATCATTACTCACATACCAGCTGGATATATTTGATCATAACATCATAATATAATAAAAGCAACACTCACTCAGCAAAACCGCCGTTGTTTAAGATTCATGAATGGTGCTTACTCCATAATTATGTTCATCACACACACTTAAAAATAAATGTATACTTCGGGTACTGATCGTTGTAGACCGTTGAACTGGGAAAAAGAACGAGAGTGAGTCGTCGTAGTGTTTTCTATATGATATTATCTTGAATAGGCAGTGGGTATTGTCAAGCCTAGAGCTTGTCACTGATAACGCCGTCGGTGGTGTAATTAAGTAAATTTGATCTTTAGCCATATAATATTATAATATTGTGTCAGACATCACAGTGTATCACTTATTAGTAATACCACGGTTTAAGCATTGAGTAATATAGGTCATTCCCTATAATATAGTTCTATATAACAAGTTGATGTGCAAATGGCTTCTATTTTTTAGTACAATTGCTTTTATAGAAATATTCTTTCAGTCAAAAATCCATAATTCATTATAAAAAGTGTAGTGTTAACTTTTAAAAATATAAGCAATGAATAATCGAGATGGTTAACGTATTAAGTTCTTAATATAGCTATTTAAAAATAATAAAGATACATAGGTTCGCATTTTATAAGCATTTAAAGCTAAAACTTCGAAAACCTCGTTAAATAACAAAATATTTTAACTAGTTTGCAGTTAAAAATGTATAAAATGTCCAATTTTCATAACTATGACTGGTACTCGTCGTAACACAATACCACAATATTTTTTTTCTTGAAGTATGTACCCTATATATAAGAAACAAGAAACCATTTGGGCTTTAATTAATAGATTTAATCAAATCTTTAAACTAGGTACTCTATAGAGGAGAGATTCCCAACCAGGGTGTCGCAAAATTGTTCGAAATATATTTTTTAAGAAAAAATGATTTCATGAAAAATATAGCACTGTACGTAATAAAACAGACTATAATATAACACCTATTATGTTTCATGTATTTTGTAGAAATATTACGATATTCGATCTATTAAAATGTTCATACCGGTTTGATTGCTATGTGAAATACGTGAGACTTTATCTTTTTTAAATTTTTTTACAACATGTTACATGCATCGACAGTAGTAATTTAATAATATACTAACAATTTCAGTACAATCAGTCTGGTTTTAGTCATCATTACGAAACGTATTTCAGTCGTTGCGGTGTTCCATTAAATGAATTTTAGATTCATGTTGAAAATATTCACGCTAAAGTTGGTAAAAAAGCTCTAAAAATATTACTGCAGTTTTCGACATCATATTTATGCGAACAGAGATTTTCGACTCTATAGTATAGAGTATAGACTAATACGACTATAATACCACACATGCACTTGATTGGGTGATGATTTAGATAGAAAAGTAGAATACCTATTATATTTTCCCTGCATATTTGCTGCTCCATCTGTAGCATTCCCTATACAATTTTCAGTGTTAAGTCCATTTTTAGTTAAAATATTTTCCAACATAGTATGAAAGCCCTTATCTTTTGAATCTTGCATAGTAATTACTGCAAATAATTGTTCATTAACACCAATCATATTGACATATTGTTTAATGATTGAACATTGATCTTGAACCGAAATGTCTTGTGTTGGGTCTGTTTGAATAGAAAACATACCAGCTGCTTGAGCTTCTATAAGTATTGATTTTTTCATTAACATATTAATTATATCAATCACATCACATTAATAATTGTTTTCAATAAAAAAGTTATTAATGACCCTCTGATTTGAGCAGTTTGTTGACTTATGATATAAATTATAAAGATTTTACTTGAGCATATTTAACTCTTTTATCAATGTGTTCACTTAAAACAATATCATATTTCTTTAAAAGTTATATTTTATCAAGAAAATTACCATGGTCTGCTTCGGGGTCTAAAAACGATAATGTGGACTCATTCCTATTACCTTGGACTTCTTAAAACTAAAACTTACTAACTAAGACTTCTTCTAGAGCCTATTAATTTTACAACATTAATAATTAATCTTTCAATTATTTGAATATTTTTCTTTGCCTCTTCTTTCCTATTATTTTTTTCTATTATTATTTAAAGTCAACCATGATCAATTGGTTTTATTTTTTCTGAAATATGCTTTGAATGATTTGAATAAATGTCCAACAAGTGATTGAATAGGATGGAATACAAAAAAATGATTAAGCATATTATACTGAGATGGTTTTTGAAAATACATACTTCATTATGTACATTTTTATAAAATACATTATCTTGTTTATCCTTAATTATTGTTTCCTACATTTATTTAACACAATAATTATTATTTACAGGATACAACTATAACAATTAAATATGAATTACATACAACTTATTTATTATACTTACATTTTCCACATTTTCAGCCATAACTGTAACTATAACATCTCCAAAAACATAACCATTTGAATTTTTATCATTTTTGTCATCACAAATTTTCTCATACCTGAACTAAGTTCATCAATACTCTACAAATAGTAAACTGCATGTTATAAACATTTAATGATAAAATAATTAACATTTTATTTAGGTATTTGTATTTATTTGTTTCTTATGTTTTCAATTGCACCTGTGTGAAACAATTGGCCAAAAATATAATTTAAATTTGTATCATTAATGTTATCAGCCATATTTCAAATTTCTGTATTGAATTTATTAATACTTTAAAAATAATAAATTTGAAAAATAGACATTAAGAAGTTCAATTTAAATTAAAAATTAAAACATTAGTTATTGCCTATTAACTAAACTGTATAATAAATACATTTAATTTTATCTGCCTTTTTATTTAGAGTTTGTTTTTGTGGTTTTAAAAGTTCATTTAGTGTTAAACGTTGTTTGCTCAGGCCAACAACAGCTTTTCGTTTTTTTCTCTTGCTTTTTCTGCACCTATTTTATAATTTAACAATAATAATATTAATAAATGTATATTTTATACGAGCAGTGGCCAACCGGGAAATTTCCCGGTATCTCGGTCGTCCAGTCCACCACTGTCAAAATAAATAAATACATTATAAACTGAACATCGTAGCCCACAGAATAATGTTTCTGATGAATTATTTTCTCTATATCAGTTTTTATGCTCACGGATCGCCAAATATAATATAAACCATGAAGATTTATCTGAGTTGTTAAAAGGCTTGTGCCTAAGAGGACATTCTAACTTACCCGCACATGCTAAAACTGTACTTAGAACACCAAAATAAATTCTAATTAAATCAATAAGTGGAGGAGATTACTATAATATTGTTTTATCTACTGTGATCAAAAATCTGGCATTGAAGAATATTTGACTACCTGATGTATTAGATTTAAATGTAGGAAGATGCGGTTTGCCAATATCAAAGAGTACATCAGATGAATTGTGGGAAATACTTGACAATACTTCTGTCTCCTACATTAAACTTAATAAACAATAAATATGCAGACAGATTATTGTGCCATTTGGTATCCCAGTTTGAACACTTGTATGGTAAAGAAAATGTTTCTTATACTGTGCACTGAGTTCTTCATTCAGCTAGCGAGGCTATGGAGTTGGGAGCTCTTCTTACTTGTTATGCTTTTCCGTTTGAAAGTTCTATGCAAATGTTAAAAAAGATATCAGGTCATTATACAAGCCATTAGAACAAATCGGTCAAAGATATTGGGAAATAAAAAATAATGAAGTAATTTAAAAAATCAATAATACTATTTCATCACCCGTCTCTTACATGGCTATATGAGTGATGCGGTGTATCCACAATATTCTGGATTAAAATTATATACTATATCTATAACAATTAACAAGGAAGATCGATATGTGAAGATGAAGGACAACTCAATTGTAAAAATTAAAACAATTGCCACCTCAAAGATATGTGGTAATATAATAATTATTGGTAGGCCGTTTGAAAATGTAACCGATTGGTTCACAACTCCGAATCATCATATGTTGGTATATATTATTCATTTCAAACTGACCCACTCTCTGATACCATGCAAAAAAGCAGCTGGGACCAATAAATATAACTACTGACAC